AGCAGCGGGAGTGCTGCCGGGTTAGTCCCACAGCGCCAAAGGACGGCGCTGTGGGCCAACCCAGCAGGACCGCAGCTGCTCTGTCCCAAAGGTCCCCAATTCAGACGCTGCTCAAACAGATCAGCAGCTGATTCCAGGATGCCCAGCCGCTGATCTGTTTCAGCAGCGGCTGACTTGGGGACCCCTGGGGCAGAGCAGCTGGAGTGCTGCCGGGTTGGTCCCGCAGCGCCGAGGGGCGGCACTACGAGACCAACCCGGCAGCACCCCAGCTGCTCTGCTCCCGGCTTCCCCGATTCAGCTGCTGGTCAGTTTTTCAGCAGCAGCTGAATGGGGGAAGCCTGTCCGGCTGCCCCAGCACTTCCGGGTTCCTGATGGTGCCGGACCATCAGGAGTCCCGGAGCATTGGATGCCGGACTAATGGAGTTTTACTGTACCATCATCTCTAGTTTAGAGTTCAATAATCCTTCTTCCAGGTTTGTGGGATGTGCATCACAGGACATCCTTTAGCCATATAACGCCACTTGCAAAAGATAAATACTCTGTACTGGTTTGTCTAGAGAGAGGGAGGCAAACAAGCACAACTGAGTTTGGTTTTTGTTATCTAAAACATGAACTGCCCCACAGCCCCCTGCATTATCACTTGAATTTTGTCTGCAGTGGCATGAACTCGAAAATACCAACATATTTTTTTCTCATTTTATTTGTGAACCTAAATTGGGGTCTGTCTAAAACCTTTCACAGGTGCTTTTTTGGGGAGTTTAGCACTTATCATTTAGAAGTTTATATTAATGTAAATGAAGAAACCCAGGGAATTAATGTAAGCAGTTTGTTTTACAACTGCAAGTTTTTATTACTTTAGACCAAAGCTATGCATCTTTGGATATACATGAGAATGTTGCTTTCAAAATATCATTCCCCATATTGCTCTGATCCAATAGATGCAAGCAATTCTATAGTAGGATGTTCTCTTCTGAGCTCTCATAAGCATAGATACCACTTGTGTGAATAAAATCGTTTGTTCTTACTCTATGCTGGAATTTCAATAACTAAAGCTGGAAAAACTACTCATGCTCTGCTTCCACACAAAGGATATTTCTGCATTGCAGTAAAACACCCAGAGCTGGCCTACATCAGGTGCCTTGGATTTGGCGGGTATGGAGGTATAAAATTGCAATGTAAATGGTTGGGCTCAGGTTGGTGCCCAGATTCTGGGATGCTGCAAGAGGGGAGGGTCTCAGATTCACAATCTACCATTAAATCCACACTACTCACTGAGCATTACTGTGACCCATTACACACCTTCCCTGGCATGCTTACATTCAGCATAGAAATGACGGCAAAACAGTTGAATTAAAAACATGCTGATCACCACAAAATGTTAGCATGAAGGATAATTTTTATATTTTCATTCATTATTTACAATAGGTGGAATATATGTTGGTAGCTTTTGATCATGAACATAAGAAAGTACGTTTGTCCCTAACTGGAGAAGAAAATC